GAATAATCTATTAACGTTCCTGGATTTGAATGGACGAAGATAAGTTAAGAACGGAAGGAAACATAAAAAATATAATAAAAAAACTAAATAACTCATAAATAACTCATTATTTTTATTTTTATTTTTATTGGGATTATGAATCAAAACGTAAAGGTCGAATGTTAATATAAATATACATAAGGCTAATGTAAATGTATTTTATATGTCGGATTATGTGTATATATTAATGAGATATTTTTTTTTACAATATGATTTTTATCTAATGCTTTTTATCTTCACACGAGAAATCATTCGAAACGATAGTTTTTAATAATAATTTACAGAGATGACGAACTGATCTAATAACAGGAATAATATCGAAAGCAACGATTCTTATCACAATAATTCCTTAATTGATTTTTATTAACGATTATTTTCACAGATTTTTTCGAAATTGTACGAATATGCTCGACGAATGTTTTCATTATTTTTAAGCACACATATATATATATATATATATATATATATATATATATATATATATATATGCAAAAAAACTTTCTTGATAATAAGCATTAATAATTTAAACATTGAGATCATAATTGATTGATGAAGGTTCAATGATAAAAGAAAACAAACAAACGAATCATCTACTTCAAATATTTCTTTTTTTTTTTTTTTTTTTTTTTTATTTAATCATTTTCGTTAATTATTATTGAGCGTTAATAAAAAGTGATTATTGTCATAAACAAAGAACGATTATGTTACAAAATTATTACAATACTTTTTCCTTATGTCTTACTTTTTATCGATTTGAATGTATTTTTTCATAACACTATTTCTTCTTCTTGTTTTTTTTCTTTTTTTTATTTTGAAATTTAAAATTTGTTCCAGCCGAAGTAAAACTTTGATAAACCCATACTCTAGATCATACCTCAATTTTGACGTTCGTTGAGCAACAAATAAAGATTCGTACTTTGTTAGAATTTCTGTTTTTTTTTCTTTTTTTTTTCCTTTTTTTTCGTTATAATGTTTACGTAATCCAATCAGGGTTAAGGAGAGTAGGAGCTCGGGAAGCTTATGCTCTTAAAACAAAAAAAAAACAAAAAAAAGATTTACTTTTTATCATACAATTTAAATAAAAAAAGTGCTTGCGTAATGTTTGCGTAAGAAAACATTTAAAAAACGAAGCAAAAAATTATTTAATGAAGCAAAAATTTATCTAATGAGGCAAAACATTTTTCTATTTATTATGAATATATTCCTATCCAATGTACTCATTAAAAATCTTTCAAGGATATCCATTAGACCAATCTCATTTTGCAGATTTTAAATCTAATCAATAATTACATCGAATTAAATTTAATTGATAAGCCAGATCTTAAATGGATTTTAATTTTACGTTTTTTTTTTTTTTTTTTTTTTTTTTTTTTTTCACTTAAATATTTATCAATTCGCTTTGCTTCCTACGATGATTGAGGTATTTAATATTAAAAAAAGAAAGAGAAAAAGAAAATATAATCACAGATCATTCTGTTTATCTACATAATTTGTTCCATTGAATTTGCATTCGAATTAATTAATAATTAACAAAACTTTGAATGGTCGCGATTATTATTATCAAGGATATTAACGAACTAAATAAAGAATTTTTCATTTTCATTGGATGTCTTACTTAAATCCTGAAAATAGAATTGATCTTGATTAATAATCAGATTTTAAATTGTTTCTAATTTTTCCCTTTATATTTGCAACTATCTTTATCGCCGTTCTCTTTGTTTTTCTATGAGATCGTCCGATTGATTAATATTTTTATATTAAATGTTTGAAATAATGCATTTTGCTTTGCATTGCGTTGCTATATGCAGTCCTTCGTCTGAAATGTATTTGTTATGTTCCGTCGTCGAAGAAAAATATTCAGTTTAAAATGAATATTTATCAACTTATGATCAATATATACATATATATCCATTTTACGCTTATATTATGTACGTTAGTTTCTTTACTCCAACGAAATTACTTGTAGTCGATCATAATTCGGAACATCTATACAAACTTGCTTAATGAATATTCATTTTCTATTCGAACAATAAAAATATTAGAAATGTAATTGACGTTATGTAGGAGTATGAATGTTTCGTCTTTATTATAAAATTTCTAACGTGAATTAATGGGTTGTTCGGAAAGTAAATTCGTTTTTTTTTTTTGTAAAAATGAAAGACAATTTTCGTATAATTAACAAATATATTATTAAATTATATATTGTCCATTCTGGTCCAATACCTTCTGCCATCTTTCTGATAGTAACATGATACCACGCTCATAAAATTTTTGGTCTTTGCTGGTAAAAAACTAATCGAGGTGGTTTTTGACCTCCTCATTTGAAGTGAAGGTTTTACCGTCTAAAAAATTTTGCACTGACCAGAACAAATAATAATCCGAAGGTGCCAGATCTAGAGAATATGGTGGGTGTGGAATTATATCCCATTCAAGTTATAAAAGCTTTTGGTGAGTGACCAAACTTGTATGAGATCTCGCATTATCTTGGAGGAACACTATACCTTTTCTGTTGAATTGCATCATTCAGTTTGTCCAGCTGATGACAGTAGACTTCCGAATTAATTATTGTGTTATCCGGAAAAATCTCAAAAAAAAACGATTCCTTTAAAATCCCACGAAACAGACAGCATCACCTTTTTTGATGGATATTGGCTTTGGAAATGCTTTGAGCCGGTACATCTTTTTTCCCTCATGATTTCTTGCGTTTGACATTGTTATATACAATCCATTTTTCGTCCCCAGTAATGATGCGCTTCAAAAATGGATCATTTTCGTTACGTTTGAGAAGCGAATCACAGACGTCAACGCGACGACACAAATTTCTCTCCGTGAGAACATGGGGAACCCATATACCGAGCTTCGAGGTTAAACCCAGGCCTTTCAAGTGGTCATAAACAATTAAATTTGATAAATTGAACCTCTCACCGATCTTACGCGTTGTTATTCGCCAATTTGCATCAACTAATGCCTTTATCGTGTCTTTATCAGCTTCAATCGGCCTTTCAGAACGTGGTGCATCTTCGACATTAAAATTGTCCGATCGAAATTTCTGCAAACCATTTCTGGCACTGGCATACTGTCAATACATTTTCTCCATACACATCGTTAATTTCTTTCTGGCTTGAATAGCATTTTTACCTTTTCTATTGTAAAACAGTAAAATATGACGAAAATGCTGCTTATTGGTCTCCATATTTAAAAGGGCACCAACCAAAAACTATTGCGTAGAATCAGTTGGACTTTTTCACACACAAGCCTTCCTATATCAGCTCTGAAAACATATAATGATTATGCGGCTTAAGTGTGAAGTTGAGTGCAAAAAAATACAATTAAATCTTCTGTCGGGAAAAAACGAAATTACTTTCCGAACAAGCCAATATGACGATAACAATTAAAGTCGAAAACATTATCGAGTTTAATATATTTCGAATGATGTTTTATGACACTTATTATTAGCAATGTAAGTGATTTTTGTTATTAAAAAGAAATCATTACGTAGATCTCTCTCTCTCTCTCTCTCTCTCTCTCTCTCTCTCTCTCTCTCTCTCTCTCTCTCTCTCTCTTATTTATCAGATATTATTTTGATCGTGAGATCGGATTTTTATGTTTTAAAATTAGATTAATTCATTATTACTATACGAATGCATTTCTTTTACTCGTGTTTTTTTACGTGTGTGTAAGAAAAAAGAATAAAAATAATAAAAAAGAAAGAGAAATTAATGAAAAAGACAAAGGAAATAAATAAAATATTATACGTCAAAATTATTGAATTATTATTTGCATATACTATTGTATATGCAAATGGAATGAAATAAAAAATGGAAGAAGTGCTATGAAGATAATAAGAATGGTCCAAGGCCGTGTACCTGCAAGTTTTCTTATGTTTAAGAAAAAGTCTCTACTTTTCTGTAATAAAGACTTATTTATGTACTGTCTCGATTGTCGCTGAAAATTTTTATTAAAAAAAAAAAAAAAAAAAAAAAAAAGAGAGAAAAAAATCGTCTGCGAATAAATTAAGATGAAACATTTAGACAAGTGCTATTTGTTCTTTTAAATCTTTCTAATTAAATTATTAACACGATTGTAATATAATAATTAATATAATTTTATTAACGAATAATGGATAAGTATACGTATGTCTGTCTGATATTATATTTAAAGCAAATAAATTTCGATCATTTTCACGATCGATCTTCATACGTCTCATTTATGACGTATCATACAGACATATCATATAGACATTTATACGTATTATACATATAGACATTTATGACGTATCATACAGACGTATCATATAGACATTTATACGTATCATAAATGACGCATCATGTATGAAATTATTTCTCTCTCTCTCTCTCTCTCTCTCTCTCTGTCTCTCTCTGTCTCTCTTTGTCTCTCTCTCTCTCTCTCTCTCTCTCTCTCTCTCTCTCTCTCTCTCTCTCTCTCTCTCTTCATATATATATATATATATATATATATATATATATATATATATAGAGAGAGAGATGTGATATAAGTTTAGGTTGGAAACTATGAAACGGGCGTTTTTGTTTAGTAATTTATTTTCATTCAACGCCCGTTTCATAGTTTCCAACTTAATATATAAGTATTAGGTTGGAAACTATGAAACGGGCGTTTTTGTTTAGTAATTTATTTTCATTCAACGCCTGTTTCATAGTTTCCAACCTAATATATATATCACATCATTCAATAAGTCTTTGGTCTAGCTAGGAAAAACAAAATTTTTTTTTAGACTTTATTCGTCAACATACTCCTCTCCTTTAGGAATGATACATTCATTCCAACGCTCTTCTAACTTTTCGATGCCTTTTTTATTAAACAATTTCTTTTTATGGCTCAAAGTAGATCTCAATTTCGGCAATCACATCATCACGTTTGAGCCAGATTTGTAATAGTTTTTCTTTTTTTCTTTTATCTAAAGTTTACATTTATCTTTGTAGATACCTATGGAAATGTACAAATGATGAAAAAGCTATGGGAAAGAAACGAGCAGGATAATAATGGTGTCATAGATAGTTTTAAGACAATTGACAAAGATTCGTCTTACGCAAATTTTAAAAAATTGACACCAATACAAACGTTTTATCATGGAGAAAGCATATTAATAACCGGTGGGACAGGATTTCTTGGAAAATTATTAATTGAAAAGTTATTAAGAGGATGTCCAGGTATAAAGTGTATTTATTTATTGATACGTTCAAGAAAAGGGAAGGATGTGTCTCAGCGCTTGGAAGAGATGTTCGGGAATGTGGTGAGTTTTATTTTTCTTTTTCTTTTTTCTTTTTTATTAGTTTTTTTTTTACTTTCGATCGATTATTAGAAAAAAAAAGGTCAATCAACTCTTTATCAAAAATCGAATAATCTTCCATCCCCCAATACAACCCATTTCAGTCCAAATTAATCATTCTCAATTAATTAAATGTTAAGATTACAATTAATCTTTTAACGACGAAAGATTTTTTTTAATTTAAATTAGATCAGTTATATAAAAATAATTGACTTGATAGAATTTATGTAAAAATAATCGGATGTCGATATTTTTTGCGCATTAAGATTGTTCGATAAAAATGTTTTTCTGTTTTTTTTTTCTTTTTTTTTTTTTTCTAAATGAAAAGTTAAAACGGACTTCGTTCGTGCAATAGAATGATTTATTTTCTTTTTTTTTTTCTTTTTTTTTTTTAATGTAACAAGAATTTTCTTTTTACTCAGATAATCGTGCATGATTAGATTAAATTTGAAGGTTCGATAGATTCGTTAGTTTTATTTTTGTTCAAAATAATTAGCGAATACTTATTATATTATATATATATATATATATATATATATATATTTATTTATTTATTTATTTATAAAGCTTTATTTCCTTTAAAAAAGATCGTGTTAAAGAATGATATTTTTCGGGAATAATTTATGCACAAATAAGAAGCTTTTTCAAAAATTCATAAACAATATACGGTAGATTAAACCTTCGTCTTTAAAATAAAACCTTTTTCATGAAAATCGATCAAGAATTATCGCCAGTTTTCATTGATGACGTAAACAATTAAAAAATCAGGGATAATGAACAGCCTTAATCCTGAATTAACTTAATGTCTTCATTTTACCTAAGAAATAGTAATTCGTTATTTAAGTAGATATTGAATTAATATAAAAAAAAAAAAAAAAAAAAAAAAAAAAAAAAAAAAAAAAAAAAAAAAAAAAGAAGAAGAAAAAAATGTTAATTAAGAAATTATCGATTTGAGGAATTTTAAATCGTGCTAAGAGTCACTTTTCTTGGCGCAATATATATATTAGGTTGGAAACTATGAAGCGGACGTTTTTGTTTAGTAATTTATTTTCATTCAACACCCGTTTCATAGTTTCCAACCTAATATATAAGTATTAAGTTGGAAACTATGAAATGGGCGTTATTGTTTAGTTATTTATTTTCATTCAACGCCCGTTTCATAGTTTCCAACATAGTATATAAGTATTAGGTTGGAAACTATGAAACGGGCGTTTTTGTTTAGTAATTTATTTTCATTCAATGCCCGTTTCATAGTTTCCAACCTAATAATTATATCAACGTGTTTAAGTGTGACAATAATGGAATATAAAATTCTTTATGTCTATGGTTCCTTTTTTTGTCAGTTATTTTCAAAGCTTAAGGAGAAAGAACCGACATTTCGAAATCGGATAATCCCAATCGAAGGCGATTGTACCTTATCGAATCTTGGTATATCGATAATCGACAATGATGAACTCATAAAAGAGGTATCCATTATTTTTCATGTTGCTGCAACTGTAAAATTTAATGAGAAAATAAAATTGGCGACGGCTATCAACGTTCGAAGTTTGAAGGATTTGATAAACTTATCGAAGAACATGCCGAAATTAAAGGTAAAAATTTTCTATGCGTTTCATAAAGAAATGAATTTTGAATTTCAAAAAATTCAAAAAATTATGTTTTCAGGGATATATGAATATATATATATTTTTTTTTTTTAATCTCTACCTTTTCTTTTTATTTTTTTTTCTTCTTTTCTTTTTACTTTTTTCTTTTCAATCTTTTTAGTTTTATTTTCCTTTTTCTTTTTTCTTTTTTCTTTTCAATCTTTTTTATTATCTTTTTATTTTATTTTTTCTCCACTTCGCCCTTCAAATTCATTCCAAGAGTGTAACAAAATTAAAACTCGAAAATTCGACAATTTTTTCGACTTGTTTGTTTTAATTATCGACAAACCGTAAAAGAAAAATGGTCGCCGGAAAATGTTTTTTTCGATAAAAGTTACTTCGTTTTATTCAGACTATCGTTTGTTAAAAGATTTATCGATTGTTCATTTAATCGGATATTATAAACAAGAATATAAACAAGAATATTAATGATTTTTTGAAAGAATTTATTTATTTATTTTTTTTTTTTTGTCATATTCTCCTTTTTCACGTGAAATCTTAATCGGTAGTTTATTTAATTATGAAATAGCATATTTTTTTTTTTAATTATTTTTTTCTTTTAATTTCTTTTTTCTTTTCTTTATTTATATTGTTTATTTATATTTTTTTTATAATATTATTTTTTATATTTCTTTAAATTTAAATACAAATTTAAATACAAAATATATAATATAGAAGACATAATAAATAATATAGAAGATATTCATCATATACAGGGTGTTCGTTTTATAAATGTTCGAGCTAATATGTTATGCGACTGATTGATATTAAAAGAAAATTTTTCCAAAATAATTTCCATCATTTTGAGTCAATTAAAAAAAGCACTGAAATATCCAATTTTTCTCTTTTCTTTTATTTACGATCTTTTTGAGAGATCAAATATCAATATTATTCTTCTTTTTTTCTTTCTTTTTTTTTTTTTTTTAATTTATATTATTTGTATATTTATATCGACATTTGCAATCCGATAAACAATCCATAATACAAATGTTTTACGAGATACGATTTTCATTGTAAATAATCACTACTGTATAAAGAAAAAAACAAAAAAAAAAGAAAAAAAAAAGAAGAAGAAAAGAGAAAGAAAAAAAATGACACATTAAATATTATGTTGACTTTCATAATTAGACACAAATTATGAGTAAACAAAAAAACAAAAAAAAAAAGAATGAGAATATATTAATACAGAAATTTATCGTGTGATACATTTTAACATTTTTTTTATTTCTCGTATTATCATAATTTTTTGTCGTTTTTCTTAAGGATTTCCTCATCATGTGAAATAATTCATACAATTCATACTGAATATATATGTGTTTTCAAAGTTATCAATATATATATATATATATGTATATATAAATATAAGAAGCTTATTGAATCGTTGGCATTATTGGGATTAGAACATCTCCATTAGAAAATACAACAAAAATTCAATGATTACATTAGAAATAAATATTTCTAATAAATAAATATTAGTTACATTTTATAGTTATCTCAGTTTTTCTTTACCACACTATATAGTGTTTACCATGTGATTATGATTAAATTAATTTATTTTTATAAATGTTAAAAAAAAAAATAAAAAATAAAAGAAATATTAAAAAAAATGATTGACATGTGACGTACGTTTGACACAATGATAAGAAAACGATTTCATTAATACAACAAGAAATTTGTTTTTCTATTAAAAGATTTTCTATTAAAAAATTTCTATTAAAATAAAATAAGGAAATATTATACTATATATTTTCATAGTTATTTCCATTGATTAATCATAATGATTTCACGCTAATGAAAATATATTTTTAGAATGAAAAAGAAAACAAAAGAAGATTATTAACATTTTTCTATTTATAACTATTTTTCTAATTACAAAAATAATTCGCAGATCTTACATCAAACGATAGTACCGATTAAAAATAGATAATCCTTTTCTTTGAAAACATTTCTTTCCTATTCATTATCATTTTTCTAATTTGAATATGAAATTGAAAAAAAAAATAGCCGTATTTTCGGCAATCGATTTTCAATCATCTTGAAATGAATTTTCTGAACAACAGAAAAAAAATAGCGTAATATATTTATCTATTCATATATGTTCTATCGATCTTTTGAAGTATTATAATTTTTTTCATAAAATTTTAAGTAACTCTACGTTACTTTTAACGATACGAGAAAATACATTATCTTGATAGAATATGTTGCTATGATAGAATATGTTGTAGACCTATCAAAAAAAAAAAAAAAAAAAAAAAAAAAAGAAAAAAAAAATGAAAAAGAAATGAAAAAAAAAATGAAAAAAAAATGAAACTGAAACCACGACGAAAAAAAGAATAACCTTGAATTAAAAAACATTGGATCATAGTAATGCATGACTCATATGAATCGAAAATGATTCATTTATTCGTCATTTTCTCGTATCAAAGTAACAGAGTTATTGCTTTGTAACAGGATTATTGAGACATACTGTATATATTGATGAACATCAGGATATTTCAAGATAATATTTGACTTTAATAAATCTTCGATATCTTTGATATTTCAGAGTTTCGTTCATGTGTCATCTATTTATGCCAATTGTATGGAGAGTTTGATTGAAGAGAAATTTTACGAACCACCGATGGATTCTGATAAATTGTTAAATTTGGTTGACAGCATCAATGAAAAATTACTCGATGAAATTACACCGCGGTATGTTTATTTTCAAACATATAAATCATTTCACGCAAAAGTTTATTTAGAAATAATCAATAATATCAGCATCGATAGTCATTTGAAAATCTTTTCAAAATTTTTAAATTCAATATCGATAAATAGTCTTACGTTATTTAAAAATATTTAAGTTAAATAATGGGTTGTTCGGAAAGTAATTCCGTTTTTTTTTTTTTTTCTTTTTTTGTGAAAATGAAAGACAATTTTCATATAATGAACAAATATTTTATTAAATTATATATTGGCCATTCTGGTCCAATATCTTTTACCATCTTTCTGGTAGTAGCATGATTCCACGCTCATAAAATTTTTGGTCTTTGCTGGCAAAAAACTGATCGAGGTGGTTCTTGACCTCCTCTTTTGAAGTGAAGGTTTTATCGTCTAAAAAATTTTGCAGTGACCGGAACAAATAATAATCCGAAGGTGTCAGATCTGGGGAATATGGTGGGTGTGGCATTGTATCCCATTCAAGCTGCAAAAGCTTTAGGCGAGTGACCGAATTTGTATGAGGTCTCGCATTATCTTGGAGAAACACTACACCTTTTCTATTGATTAATTCTGGCCTTTTCTGTTGAAGTGCATCATTCATTTTGTCCAGCTGATGACAGTAGACTTCCGAATTAATTGTTGTGTTATCCGGTAAAATCTAAAAAAAAACAATTCCTTTAAAATCCCAAAAGACAGAGATAAATTTTAAAAGACCAAACAGACAGCATCATCTTTTTTTGATGGATATTGGCTTTGGAAATGCTTTGAGCCGGTTCATCTTTTTTGCTTCATGATTTCTTGCGTTTGACATTGTTATATACAACCTATTTTTCGTCCCCCGTAGTGATGCGCTTCAAAAATGGATCATTTTCGTGACGTTTGAGAAGCGAATCACAGACGTCAACGTGACGACACAAATTTCTCTCCGTGAGAACATGGGGAACCCATATACCGAGTTTCGAGGTTAAACCTAGGCCTTTCAAGTGGTCATAAACAATTAAATTTGATAAATTCAACCTCTCACCGATCTTACGCGTTGTTATTCGCCAATTTGCATCAACTAATGTCTTTATCGTGTCTTTATCAGCTTCAATCGGCCTTCCAGAACGTGGTGCATCTTCGACATCAAAATTGCCGGATTGAAATTTTGCAAACCAGTTCTGGCACTGGCATACTGTCAATACATTTTCTCCATACACATCGTTAATTTTTTTCTGGCTTGAACAGCATTTTTACCTTTTCTATAGTAAAAAAGTAAAATATGACGAAAATGCTGCTTATTGATCTCCATATTTAAAAGGGCACCAACCAAAAACTACTGCGTAGAATCAATTGGACTTTTTCACACACAAGCCTTGCTATATCAGCTCTCAAAACATATAATGATTATGCGACTTAAGTGTGAAAAGAATACAATTAAATTCTTTGTCGGGAAAAAACGAAATTACTTTCCGAACAACCCAATACTAATAACTTAGTCTTACGTCATTTAAAAATCTTTAAGTTGAATATAATGAATGTAGTTTTACATCATTTCAAAATCTTTAGATTGAATATAAAGAATGTAGTTTAACATCGTTTGAAAATCTTTAGGTTGAATATTGATATCATAATTCTACGTCGTTTTAAAATATTTAAATTGAAATCAGTAACGTAGTTGTTTATATCGTTTAAATATCATCAGATTGAGTATTAGGTTGAATTTCAGAATGAATTTCTAAATCTTCAGATTAAATATCGATAACGTGGTCGTAAATCATTTAAAAATTTTTAACTTATGTATCCGTAACGTAGTTCCACTTTATTTCATAATCTTTAAATTGAATTGACGCCATTTTAAAATTAGTACATATTACTCTAGGAAAGATACCTTCGTAAAATTTGTCAGATAGCAACAGAATGCATTATATAGAGAAAAAAAAAATGTCTACAACTTTAAAGTATCTGCAAGGAATATTAGATTTGATTCAAAAAACTAGATTGATAGTAGATAGAAAGTCCGAAAAAAGAAAATAAGAAACGTAAAGTAGTTTTATTTGCAGATTTTACAAAGTTTCGTTACATAAATATTTTTGTCGGATATCTTAATAAAGGATATTTTTATTAAAATATTAAATTTTAATTGTTAATCTGTTTGTTCAATTTTCATTTAAATTTATTAAATTTTATTGCTAAACATATTAAACATATCCGTGGTATTGTTTCTTAATTTGTTAATACATTTTTATATTTCTCGTTATTATTAGATACTACGTAAAATTATTACGTAAGACAAATCTGCAAAAAATGTTATTAAAAAGTTTTTGATCACAGTAAATTCGTTATAGTCGTTAAAAAAAAAAAAAAAAAAAAAAAAAAAAAAAAAAAAAAAAATATTTATTTATAATCCGTATAGAATTTAAACAGATATTTCAATTTTAATATTTCCAATAATTTTTCATCAAACATTTAACTTATTTTTTTTGTTTTTTTGTTTGTTGAGTTTTGTTAGCAATAAATGATTATAAGTATCATATCAAGAAGTAATATTTTTTTTATACTCGCACACATTTAATCCTGTAGTTGTGCCTGTGTGATGTAGGATACCACTGATCGATTTTGACCTCAATTAAAACAATTTGCGCACTGCATGATTCAAATGAATTTTTTTTTTTTATAATGATTGAATTAAAAATGCGTTTACAAATCTAGTAATTATATTATTTCCGAATTATTCATTCTGTATAATTGACGGCTGTTCAAAGTGCATCCCGCAAGTAAACAATTTAAAATTATTTTGAGATGTGCAGAATGGATGTGCTATGGACATTTTAGAAATTACATGCGGCATCCAATTGAACATCCTACGAATTAATTTACTGCGTTAATTAATAAATATACATTTAATAATTAACGAATAATAAATATGCATTAACAATAAACTTTATTTGACATTAGATTACTCGGTATATGTCCGAATTCTTACGTGTACACGAAAGCTGTTGCCGAGAATGTCGTGAAAAAGAATATTGGGATAATACCAATTGGAATATTTCGTCCAGCAGTTGGTAAATATTAACGTAAAATAAATAATGTAGTAATTCTTGTAAAAAAAAAAAAAAAAAAAAAAAAAAAAAAAAAAAAAAAAAAAACAAACGATGTATGTCAATTGATGTCAATTAATTTCCAGTAATATCAACTTATCGAGAACCCATTCAAGGATGGGTTGATAATATATACGGACCAATCGGAATTGGATTAAGCGCTGGACTTGGATTAATGCGAGTAATACATTGTGATGGTTCAATAAAAATTAGTTTAGTACCGAGCGATATGGTGGTCAACGGTTTAATCGCTAGTGCCTGGGACATTGCATATAATCAAAGGTACAATAAAATAATTTTTATTTGAAAATTAGCGAATCCGTGTGTTTCGTTTTTTTTTGTTTTTTTTTTATTTTTTTTTTTTTATATTTAATCGAATAAATAATATTTCAGATTGAACGACATTCCTATATACAATTATGTGTCTAAGGATAATCCAATAACTTATGACGATTTAAAAGACAAGGCTGTCAAATATGGATTGCAATTTCCTACTGCAAAAGCAATTTGGTATTATAGCTTTAGAAATATAAAACATCGGTTGGTTTATATCTTTTACATGTACTTGCTACATTTATTACCAGCTCTTATTGTGGATACGTTCGCTTTGTGTATCGGTAAACAGCCAAGGTAAGCTTCTCTCTCTCTCTCTCTCTCTCTCTCTCTCTCTCTCTCTCTCTCTCTCTCTCTCTCTCTCTCTCTCTCTCTCTCTCTCTCTCTCTCTCTCTCTCTCTCTCTCTCTCTCTCTCTCTCTCTCTCTCTCTCTCTCTCTCTCTCTCTCTCTCTCTCTCTCTCTCTCTCTCTCTCTCTCTCTCTCTCTCTCTCTCTCTCTCTCTCTCTCTCATTTTATTTTTTAAAATAAAAATTTCGTGCGATTGATATTCCTTTTTGACCAAGATTGCTTGGTTAATCCTTAAACTGATTTAATCCTAATTGATCCCGAGATTAATTTCTATCTGAATTAAAACAATTTGCATCATTATATGATTCATGAATTTTTTTTTTTTTAATGACAAAATTGAAAATGCATCTTCGAATCTACTAATTATATTGTTTCTAAGACTTGAAAGAATATATAGTTTTTTTTTTTTTTTTTTTTTTTTTTTTTTTTTTTTTTTTTTTTTTTTTTTTTTTTTAAGTCAAAATTATTCATTCCGTATGAATGTCAGTGAAATGATGTTGAAAGTGCCTGGCTTTATAACGCATCTCAAGTGTACAATTTGAAATTATTTTGAGGTGTACGTAACTAGGGTTAATGCAACTCTCCTAATGTCATCTCAATTCTGTTTTAGTCTAAAATCTGCATATAATCTAATCCATTTATTATATTCATGAATTGATCTCCATCTTGTCAACCTATAAGTTTCCGTAAATTCAAGGTAAAAAAAAATTAAATTGATTTCTCAAGATACTCTCTATCGATCTATCTCTTCTACCGATCAAAATATCGATCAAATTTTTCGATCAAATTTTCGATTTTTATCGATCAAATGCTTTATTTACGCGACAATTCCGTGTCTTTTTATTTTTTATAACATTTAATAATGTTATCTTTAGTACTATTCTGTATTGCCTTGTATCGAAGATCTTTATTATTTTTCTTTCTGTAGTAATTTTTGTTTATAATTCACTTTTATAAAATGCCGCGTTTCAAAACAAAACAAAACAAAACAAAAACAAAAACTTACAAGAACAATCTTCTAATACATTGATCTATATTCTAATGGAAATAATTGTTCGGAAAATAATTTCGTTTTTTTTTCTTTTCCCTTTTTTTTTTTTTTTTTGAAAAAATGAAAGACACTTTTCGTGTAATGAACACATATTTTATTAAATTATATATTAGCTATTCTGGTCCAATACCTTTTGTCATCTTTCTGGTAGTAGCATGATTCCACGCTCATAAAATTTTTGGTCTTTGCTGACAAAAAACTGATCGAGGTGGTTCTTGACCTCCTCATTTGAAGTGAAGGTTTCACCGTCTAAAAAATTGTGACCGGAAAATGGTCAGCATCTAAAAAAACAGTGACCGGAACAAATAATAATCCGAAGGTGTCAGACCTGGAGAATATGGTGAGTGTGGCATTGTATCCCATACAAGCTGCAAAAGCTTTAGGCGAGTGACCAAACTTGTATGAGGTCTCGCATTATCTTGGAGGAACACTACACCTTTTCTGTTGATTAATTCTGGCCTTTTCTGTTGAATTGCATCATTCAGTTTGTCCAGCTGATGACAGTAGACTTCCGAATTAATTGTTGTGTTATCTGGTAAAATCTAAAAAAAAAACAATTCCTTTAAAATCCCAAAAGACAGAGATAAATCTTAAAAGACCAAACAGACAGCATCACCTTTTTTTGATGGATATTGGCTTTGGAAATGCTCTGAGCTGGTTCATCTTTTTTGCTCCATGATCTCTTGCGTTTGACATTGTTATATACAACCCATTTTTCATTCCCATTAATGATGCGCTTCAAAAATGGATCATTTTCGTGACGTTTGAGAAGCGAATCACAGACGTCAACGCGACGACACAAATTTCTCTCCGTGAGAACATGGGGAACCCATATACCGAGCTACGATGTTAAACCCAGGCCTTTCAAGTGGTCATAAACAATTAAATTTGATAAATTCAACCTTTCACCGATCTTACGCGTTGTTATTCGCCAATTTCCATCAAGTAATGCTTTTATCGTGTCTTTGTCAGCTTCAATCGGCCTTCCAGAACGTGGTGCATCTTCGACATCAAAATTGCCGGATTGAAATTTTGCAAACTAATTCTGGCATTGGCATACTGTCAACACATTTTCTCCATACACATCGTTAATTTCTTTCTGGCTTAAACAGCATTTTTACCTTTTCTATAGTAAAAAAGCAAAATATGACGAGAATGCTGCTTATTGGTCTCCATATTTAAAAAGGCACCAACCAAAAACTACTGCGTAGAATCAATTGGACTTTTTCACACACAAGCCTTGCTATATCAGCTGTTAAAACATAATGATTACGCGGCTTAAATGTGAAATTGAGTGCAAAAAATACAATTAAATTCTCTGTCGGGAAAAAAACGAAATTATTTTTCGAACAATCCAATATTTTCCTACGCACGTCGTATCCATTCCATTACAGTCAAATCATACATGGAATTCTCAATAAATTTACATTTTCATTCAAGGTTACTTAAAATATATAACAAAATTCACCAATTTTCGGACGTAATTAATGTATTTACTACAACCGAATGGCAGTTTACAAATGAAAGATGGGAGGAACTGTTAAAAAAATTAACAGTGGAAGATCGCCAATTGTTTTTCTGTGACATAAAGGAACTAATATGGGATACTTTTTTTGAAAAATATATATTAGGGATAAGATTATACGTCATAAAGGATCCCATTGAAACTCTTCCACAAGCTCGTATAAAATGGCGAAGGTATTTTCTTTCTTATCTTTTATTTAACTTCATTATTTATCTGTGACAATGATCTTCGAATGATACATTTTTTTGTTGAATTTTCAAGGCTTTACTGGATTCATCAAACATTGAAACTTATTATCGTCTCTGTTCTTTTAACTATAACATGGGCTATAATTTTGAGACTATTTGTAATTATTGACTATGCGTAAAATTAACACAGCGACATCAATTATGACAACCGAAAAAAAGAAAATCGTAATTGATACGTTTTGCCAAAATAAAAGAATCAAAAATCTGTTTTATTCAATGCATTCATAATAAATGAGATCATTTATGGGATAAAGATACAATTAATATGGGGAAAAATGCATTTTTTTTTTTCATAAAATTTCATATGGATGTTGATATTTGATTTTCTTTTTCTTTTGTTATTTATTAAATTACTTACTTGTAAAAAGTAAAATAAATGAAAAAAAAGAAGGCTTAATTTTGATCTTTTGTATGTTTTCATTTTAAACGATCAAAACCTTACTAAATCCATATTTTTGAAAGACAATATATTACGATCATATTGCACTTTGACATTTACAGGAAGGAAATGAAAATTAGTATGAAATAAAAAGTTCAATAATTGAGCGTCGGGTTTAACGTCTATATCGTTGTAATCACTATAAAATCTTCATTCTTTTGTTTTCTTTTATTTTTCTCTTTGGAATGCGATCGAATGCAATAGTCCCAATTTTTCAAAATTCCTAAAAAAATATCAATTTTTACTTTTTTAATTTCGAGTCATAAATCGTTGCATACAATTGGGTATATCGATAGGATTAAAGATGGGATGAGACCAATTGTTTGTATCTGTCTTTACAGTTCAATGCAAGAATAAGAAATATGCTGGAAAGAATGGAAATTTCTTGTAAAAGTGAAGTACAATATAAACATCTATTTAAAAAAATAGAATACTGTATATATATAATTGAATTGAATTATCATATATTCTTATATTACAAATATATTTTATATTGATTATTATATATTATTATATGTTATTATATTATTATTAAATATTAAATAAATATATTTATATTTATTATAAAATTATTATGTATTTTTATTATTATGTTTATTTATTATTTTTATTTATTTTTTTTTATTATTATGTTTATTTATTATTTTTTTTAGATTATTTTACTAGAATTATTATTAGTATTATTATTAGAATTATTATCTGATCGGTCTCTTTTTTTGTTTTTGTTTCTTAATTATCAATCAATTTAGTTATAAATAATTTATCAATTTACATATATAAATATCGAAATCTCGAGTGTAATTAAAAACATACGAAGTAAATTAATTGATTTTTCTTTGAAACTTATTACTAATAATCCTATCGATTTAATCATTGAAAATAATATTAACGAGATAAAGACAACATGATGGGGGAGCATTTCCAGTTAGAAATTATATTTCTTTTGTCTTGTATCATATATATATAAAAAAAAAAAGGAAAAAAGAAAAAGAAAAAAAAGAAAATTTAATACGATCATATATTATAGTGAATAACATTAACAATAATAATCACTTCGAAATGATCTTAACGTAATTTATTTTATATCAACCATTTTCTATTTCATTCTATTAAATTTTCCGTCTCGTTGATATTGCGGAAAAATAATATTGAAAATAAATAGATAAGACTTATATGTGTTTGGTATCTTTTGTATAAAACTACGAATTTTGATCTCTGAAAACTTCGTTTTTAATGAAACTTTTTGCGAACATATCTTCGTTATTTGATTTCAAGTGAAGATACGTTATTGCCATTTATTTTTATTTAATCTACGGAAAGGTTTAAAGGAATTTGGAAATTTTTATTCTTTTTTTTTTTTTTTTTTTTTTTTTTTTTTCCTTGTAATAATGCGGTGACTCCAAACTTTCATCATATATATATATATATATATATATATATATATATATATATTAGGTTGTTCGGAAAGTAATTTCGTTTTTTTTTTTTTTTTTTTTTGTGAAAATGAAAGACAATTTTCGTATAATGAACAAATATTTTATTAAATTATATATTGGCCATTCTGGTCCAATATCTTTTACCATCTTTCTGGTAGCAGCATGATTCTACGCTCATAAAATTTTTGGTCTTTGCTGCCAAAAAACTGATCGAGGTGGTTTTTGACCTCCTCATTTGAAGTGAAGGTTTTACCGTCTAAAAAATTTTACAGTGACCGGAACAAATAATAATCCGAAGCTACCAGATCTGGAGAATATGGTGGGTGTGGCATTGTATCCCATTCATGCTGCAAAAGCTTTAGGCGAGTGACCAAACTTGTATGAGGTCTCGCATTATCTTGGAGAAACACTACACCTTTTCTGTTGATTAATTCTGGCCTTTTCTGTTGAATTGCATCATTCAGTTTGTCCAGCTGATGACAGTAGACTTCCGAATTAATTGTTGTGTTATCCGGTAAAATATAAAAAAAAAACGATTCCTTCAAAATCCCACCAAACAGACAGCATCACCTTTTTTTGATGGATATTGACTTTGGAAATACTTTGAGCTGGTTCATCTTTTTTGCTCCATGATCTCTTGCGTTTGACATTGTTATATAGAACCCATTTTTCATTCCCATTAATGATGCGCTTCAAAAATGGATCATTTTCGTGACGTTTGAGAAGCGAATCACAGACGTCAACGCGACGACACAAATTTCTCTCCGTGAGAACATGGGCAACCCATATACCGAGTTTCGAGGTTAAACCCAGGCCTTTCAAGTGATCATAAACAGTTGAATTTGATAAATTCAACCTCTCACCGATCTTACGCGTTGTTATTCGCCAATTTGCATCAACTAATGCTTTTATCGTGTCTTTGTCAGCTTCAATCGGCCTTCCAGAACGTGGTGCATCTTCGACATCAAAATTGCCGGATTGAAATTTTGCAAACCAGTTCTGGCATTGGCATACTGTCAATACATTTACTCCATACACATCGTTAATTTCATTCTGGCTTGAACAGCATTTTTACCTTTTCTATAGTAAAAAAGTAAAATATATAGTAAAAAGTAAAAAAGTAATATATTTTGCAAGCCAGTTCTGGCACTGGCATACTGTCAATACATTTTCTCCATACACATCGTTAATTTCTTTCTGGCTTGAACAGCATTTTTACCATTTCTATGGTAAAAAAGTAAAATATGACGAAAATGCTGCTTATTGGTCTCCATATTTAAAAGGGCACCAACCAAAAACTACTGCGTAGAATCAATTGGACTTTTTCACACACAAGCCTTGCTATATCAGCTGTTAAAACATAATGATTACGCGGTTTAAATGTGAAGTTGGGTGCAAAAAATACAATTAAATCCTCTGTCGGGAAAAAAACGAAATTACTTTCCGTACAATCCAATATATATATATGTAAAGAAAGTATACTTTCTTCAGGTAGATTTGCCGTGCGTCTCATGTCCCGCCCTTCCATTGTCTTTTGTTATCTACAAATTCTTTTGTTACCTACAAATCGAGCCATTAAAATTTGGGAGAAAAACGGGCAGTAAGAAATAGAACGTAGACAAGAGAAGTAGTATAAAATTTAAACAGTGTGAATAATAAATGTAAATTGTTGTTTCTTTGTTCACAGAGAAACATATTTTCGTTTATTACCTCCCATAATCAATAAAAGATATATAACACTCACTCGCGTGCGCGTGCACACAAACATTTATATATGGCAATCTCGTCATTGCTTGTTCTTCATATTTTATTCACATGAATTATGCCCAACGATCATTTCGTTAATATTCTAGAACATAATAGCATTATAATTCTATAGCATTCTACATGGGTAATTGAGTATCAGGAATAATTAATTATCACGGACAGTAGAGCTGCAACGAATAATATATTTTTATGATTGAAAACGTTCGTTATCAGCGTGATCATTCGAATATAAAACAAATTTGTTCATTCGATTCATAGTTTTTTTTTTTAATACTTTTTCAGTTTTATAGATTATTCTTATTTATTTATTTTTTTCTTTTTAATATAAATATTCGTTAAAAAGGTTTGTTAGATATAAATAATTCGTTGACCGTTATAGCATATGATATTTCACGTGATAATATTTTATCTTATAAATAATATGAATATTTATTTGAAATACTGCGGTCGAATCTGTTTTATAAAATCTAATGTAAAAAGTAATAAATAATAATAATAATCTCTAATAAAGTCTGATTAAAAAAATAAATAAAAAATAATAAAATACACTATATAGTATATATAATATATAATATATACTGAACTATGTATATTCAACTATAAACGGTGCGTAAGGGATTAATTATTTTTAAAAATGCTCGTGGATCATCGCGTTAACGTTGAATGTTGGGGATTGAGATAAACAAAATTATCCGGTAAATAGTAAAATCTAATTAAAAGAACGTTTGAATAGGAAAGTAAAAAAAAGGAACTTCGATGATATCATCAATCGAAAATTTTGAAAAATTTACGCCTATGCAATATATGCAATATATTTTACGATTGTCAAATTCTTTTTCTAATCGGTGAAAATGGATTTATGGTTAAAGTATCATTCTTCGAAAAATTATTTGGAGGATGCCTAAAGTGCATTTATCTTTTGATACGATCGCAAAAACTTTTCTTCTAAGGGTCAATACATTATACTAATAGAGTTGAAAATTGAATTAAGCGTTATTTGTGAATTACTTATTATTTTTTATAGATCGAAAAATTAACGAAAGATGAAAGTGTATAATGAATAGTGTTAATCATACTAATATTTAGTATTTATTAAAAAAATTAAATAACACAATAAATATTTTCTATTCAGAAAAATCCCTTTTTCTATTATTTTCTTTACTATTCTCTTATTACAAAACAAAAATTACTCCTTTCGTACGGAGCGAAATCAATTAATATTTTTAATCCGAAGCTTTATTCGATTAAAATTTACATCGTCCTATAAAATACCATGGCATAGGAAAATGAAGTTTTCATGAACTGAAATAAAAGATGTCGATTAATAAGTAAATCCTTTATTATCATAGTTAGTGTCTATAGAATTTATTTTACCGTGCCAAAAAGATAATGGGATAATACGATCACTCCTTTAATAGAAAGATTGCATGGCATCATGCTCTTCATTATCATAAATAGTAAAATTTTTTGCGTTTTCAAAGATAACGTGTAAAATGGAATTTGGCACCTATAAAGATTAATTCATCAGTTACATTTTAAAGAATTAGTCATCTAATTAAAGTAAATTTAGTGTAATACCAACAATTTTATATATATTTCGGAGTGATGATCTATTAATTTTTGTCCAAGGTAATGATAAATGTATATTACGAACATAGATCCAAAGATATAATTAGTCTTTTGTAATACTTCGCTTATATTAATAGTAAAGGAAAGAATCTGAAATAACTAAAAAAGAATGTTCATGGGCTTACTTTATTACAATTATAGAAATTCTGAAAGAAAAGTATTTCTCTCTTTTTTTATTATTTTCTTCAACCTAAAATCCATATTACTTACGTAAATATAATTTAAGATAATCAAAAGCATTGTGAATATCGCCTCGAAAAGACAAATTTTCCCATGATAAAGTTTTACAAAATCGACGAACCTTAAAGAGCGAAATGAAATAAAAACAATAGAGTAATTTTAAGGAAATTGAAGAAAGAGATGCAATATTATTATTATTAAAAATTGGCATATGTGCAAATAAATTAAGTAGAATACAGTTTTGTGAAATTCGTTACAAACTCGATGACATTGTCGTAGGATTTTATGATATCGATAATCCACTCATACTCTTCCTTATAATTGATAAAATTGTATGTACGATAGAAATTATGCGAATTCCTTTTATGTCCTTTCTCTATCTTCCATCTACGTGAAAAAAAGAAATTGATTTAAATTATAAAGAAAAGCAAATAAAAATTCGACTGGCTAATATATTTTGATACTTGTTATCAAAAAAGAATGTATATATATATATATATTTATATATATATTTCATAATATATTGTCGGAAATGATTACTTACGCGACGATATTGAAAAGAGCGCAGGTATGCTGTATAAATGAAACGAATATAGAACAATGTGTTATTCCAATCGTGCTTAAGACGATTAAGCATGCGTATTCGTAGAATAGTGCGAAATAGAAATTCGCTTGATCTTTCAAAAAGTAATCAACAGAGATTGGTAATATTAATTCGGTTTCATCCAGTACACCAAAGATATATAAAATAACATGTATCACGGATGGTAGCATTAGAATCGTAATATACACATAAAAAGCAACTGGAACAATAGAACGTTAATTTAATTTAATTATAATAAACTAATAAAATAACTTTAATAATATATATATATTCTTTTTCTCTTTTTCTCTTTTACTTGCGTTTATTATTGTACACATTCTGCTTGAATTAGCATATGTTTTTAATATCATCAATTCAGACTTGTTCGTCATATTATTCCAATCGGATTTAATACGAAAAAGAAGTTCCTTTATCTGAAATTATTACGATATATTGGATCCTTGCATGTTTTTTTATTTCTGATTTAAATAAAATAATTACGCCGAATACGAACGATTTTAACTTTCGATAAAAAGTTGAAATAAGTTAATGCAAAGATAAAACAAGGCAAAGCCGTTTCCAATAATTTCGTGATAGGATCTATCTTCAGTTCCGACAAGATGAGTATATAAATCTAAAGTACAATCAGCAATCTTGAGCCAATTCGTTCTAATTATATGTTACTATAATTATGTATCATAATGAGATGTACCTGTAAACATGATGCTGTTGCTATAATAAGTTTGAAAAAACAAATGTGAATTATTTGACACGAAGATGTTTTATAAGGCGAAATGCCAATTAATTTAAAGAATAGAATATTATAAGTATAGTACTCGTTTACGAAATGCTTCTCGTCTTCCAGAAACATATTGGTAACTCATACAACGTATTAATTTCTATTGGCTTCTAACCCATGCCGTTATCTACATCAAGTATTCTAAATAGCCCTTTTAAATGAATTTTTAAAATAACAGATGTAAGCCTGCATTTCTAAAAATTGTCTCGAACGGGCGGAAATTTTTTTTTCCGCAGCAAAAATTCATGTAATATTTATTGCCTATCGTAGGTTTTTCGCCTCTTAGTCTAATTGTGCGTGTATAACTAAATAGATGTTTCTTTGTAACTGTTAAGTTATTATTTGTAATTTACTCCTTCCATGGTCGATTATTTTCTTCCTTCTACGATGGACATGCGCGTTGCAAATGCAGGTACTTCACCATTTCATTCTCTCTCAGTATGATTTTACTTTTCAAAGGGAAGACATGGGAGAGATGTAACTATTATTTTATAGTGTCTATTGGATATATAAAAAAAGATTCCTCGTAAAGTGACAATTATTTTCTCCTTAACATCAGCCAATATTGATTACTATAAACGTAAGTATGATAGTTGGCACAAATATAATAACAAAAATATACAACTTATTTTATAGCAAGTAATTGTTTCGAAATATTTCTTCATTATTTCTTGTAAATAAGTGGACATTATATGTTGTTTTAAATGTTATTTTATATCTGTTCTTTTAGAAATTTTTTTTTTATTTTATATAAATATATATACAAATATATATATATATATATATATATATATATATATTTATTTTTTTATTTATTAAGTATATAAAAAGATATATTTATGATCCATTGAATACGATCTAATAAAATTTGTAGCATCTTAAAGGAATGTTCTTTATATATAATTCGTGTCGTCCTTGGAATTACATTGCAATCGAAATATAGCCCTTTGTAATATTTTTGTAATATTTTTCGTTATCTTCTCCAATTCTTGTCTGTGTTAATCAAAAAAAAAAAAAAAAAAATATATATATATATATATATATATATATATATATATAAGAATAAGTTTCAGCAATATAACAAATATTTGTCCCATGAGTTTTGTGTATTTAAAAAATTCTGATTTCCTTAAATTGTATTATTGAAATGTTGTAAAACATGCAATGGTATTTTAAATGAAATAACATGAGTCAAAAAAAATTTTTTTTTTGTATAATTGTTTATATATGCTTAAAAATTATTCAATCAAAATGTGTTATTTCTTATCGTTAGATATAATTTGAGGATATATATCTATAGACTCATCGGTAGGTATTACTATCTATAGGTTACACTATCTTATTATTGATGATTGATATTGTTTCGTCTTTACCAATAGGTAATTTTACCGACGAAAAGGATTCTTTCCTTACCATCAGTCAATTTCGCAGGTAAAATAGATATTTATGTTACCTTTATAAAGTAGATTGTTACCTTATCGCGAATCAATAGAAAATGAATTGCTATCGGTTTGATATTTGAAGGAATTATGTTATTTACTACATATAAAGAGATGGTGTAATGAGGACACGTATATTGAAGTTATATTACGCATAGTCATTTTTCATTGGGTTTATTTATAATTATTTTATTTAGGTAAATGCTATAGAATTTTCCGAATTTTTTTTTTATTTCTTAATGTATTGGCTCTTTATATTGTTGTCCATTTTACATTATTTTGCAAATACAAACATATCATATTTTATTTTAGTTTAATAATACAGAGCTGATACTATATTTATTAATAGTTTACTTCCTACATATTTATTTTTTTATGATTATTCGAATCGAAAATTTGATATGTTGATTATCTAACCTCATTTTTTTTTAACCAATCGTGCCTCGAATTAAACGATGAAAAGAATATTCCTATTCTTCTGATTTTCTATGATATATCGATTCCGGTATTATTCCAATTCTAGAAATGATGTATATTATAATATTATAAAGATATTAATGTCTTCATGGAAATCGAATATCGAATTGGTATTGAAGACACCAACAAAATATTGTATTTTTATTGTTATCTCGAAGAAAAAGAAAAAAAGATTAGAATGCTTTGAATATCAGCATGATTATAACTATATAAAACACTTACAAAACCGATAAAAATTGTGAAAACAAAGAATCAACCAATTAAATGAGATATGGTTTTAATAGAATCAATCCAATAGAAAAATTATTGAGTCCATTATTTTGGTTAATAATTTTTACAGTTTCAGATGAAAAATTACATGCAATTAATATTTTTCACATCTTCAAATAAAACAGCAATTGTGGATTAATAATTTTCACACTATAAGATAAAAAATCGATATCGGTTAATATTTTTTACACGATCGGACGAGAAATCACTTGCAATTACTAGTTTTCAAACTTTTAGGTAAAAAATCAATTGCGGCTAATATTTTCAACAAATTATTTTTTTAAAGAATAATAATATTTCTTGATAAAATCAGAGAACACTATTCCAATCTTAACGTGTGATTTTATGGAATAACTTCGATATGGTTCCTTCTTTTCACTTTTTTAGTCAAACGAGTACCTTAATTTCCTGTAAAATTTTAATCAAAAAATTTGATGATTCTCTTACTATTCATCCAAAGTCTTTTTAACTTCTGATCATCTGAGTTTCTCTACTCGTTCTTCCTAAAGTTACTCCGTGTATTCCATTATCATCTTTCGCGATAATCTTATTTTTCCTCTTCGAACTGTATTTCTATATTTGATTCTTAAAGTTAGCACGTATTTTTAATTTTCATCATATATTTTATTGTTCTTCCTACACGTCGTATGCCTTCCTTTAAAGCGCCAGTTGATGCATGAAATTCCCAATAAATTTACATTTTCGTTCAAAATTATTCAAAATGTATAAAAACATTCACAAGTTATCCGACGTACTGAGTATGTTTTCTACAACCGACTGGCAGTTTAAAAATGAACTATAGGAAAGAAGATAAAAATGGAAGATTAGGTTATTTTTCAATGAAAAGTATCCTTAGGGATAAGAATACATAATTTAAAGGATATCATTGAAACGCTATCTTAATATCGTATAAAACTATAAAGTTATCTCCATTCTTGCCATTTAGATAATTTCATTGTTTGCTTATCATTGACAATGACCTTCGAATGATACAGTTACTTTTTGAATTTTCATTGCTTATCTAGAAGAATCGAACATTTGAACTTTTTATTATTTCTGTCTTTTTCAAAGTGATTACAAACATACCGGCAGAGAATGAAAAATTTTGAAAAATTCACGCCTATGGAAATATTTTACATTAGTGAAATTATTTCTCTAACCACTGAAAATGGGTTTATAGTTAATAATACTTTATTATGGTTAATAATTATTCATACTTCGAAATAATGTTTGGAGGATGCTTAGAGTGCATTTATCTTTTGAAACGATCGGAAAAATTTTTTTTTTTAGGGTAAATACATTATAGTAATAGAGTTGAAAATTGAATTAAGCCTTATTTGTGAATTACTTATTATTTGCTATAGAGCGAAAAATTAACGAAAGATTAAAGTGTATAATATATAGTGGTAATCATACTAATATTTAACATTTACTAAAAAAATTAAATAACATAATAAATATTTTCTATTAAGAGAAATCATTTATATTTTCTATTATTCTCTTTACTATTTTCTAATTACAAAGCAAAAATCACTCCTTTCGTACGGAGCGGAATCAGTTAATATTTTTAATCCGAAGCTTTATTCGATTAACATTTACATCGAACTACAAAATACCATGGCGTAGGAAAATGAGGTTTTCATAAACTGAAATAAAAGATTTCGATTAAAAAAAAATTCCTCTATTATCATAGTTGGTATCTATAGAATTTATTTTACCGTGCCAAAAAGATAATGGGATAATACGATCACTCCTTTAATAGAAAGATTGCATGGCATCATGCTCTTCATTATCATAAATAGTAAAATTTTTTGCGTTTTCAAAGATAACGTGTAAAATGGAATTTGGCACCTATAAAGATTAATTCACCAGTTACATTTTAAAGAATTAGTCATCTAATTAAAGTAAATTTAGTGTAATACCAACAATTTTATATATATTTCGGAGTGATGATCTATTAATTTTTGTCCAAGGTAATGATAAATGTATATTACGAACATAGATCCAAAGATATAATTAGTCTTTTGTAATACTTGGCTCAAATTTATAGTAAAGGATAGTATCTGAAATAACTAAAAATAAATGTTCATGGGCTTACTTTATTACAATTATAGAAATTCTGAAAGAAAAGTATTTCTCTCTTTTTTTATTATTTTTTTCAACCTAAAATCCATATTACTTACGTAAATATAATTTAAGATAATCAAAAGCATTGCGAATATCGCCTCGAAAAGACAAATTTTCCCATGATAAAGTTTTACAAAATCGACGAACCTTAAAGAGCGAAATGAAATAAAAACAATAGAGTAATTTTAAGGAAATTGAAGAAAGACATGCAATATTATTATTATTCAAAATTGGCATATGTGCGAATAAATTAAGTAGAATACAGTTTTGTGAAATTCGTTACAAACTCGATGACATTGTCGTAGGATTTTATGATATCGATAATCCACTCATACTCTTCGTTATAATTAATAAAATTGTATGTACGATAGAAATTGTGCGAATTCCTTTTATGTCTTTTCTGTATCTTCCATCTACGTGAAAAAAGAAATTGATTTAAATTATAAAGAAAAGAAAATAAAAATTCGACTGGCAAATATATTTTGATACTTGTTATCAAAAAAGAATGTATATATATATGTATATACATATATATATACATATATATTTCATAATATATTGTCGGAAATGATTACTTACGCGACGATATTGAAAAGAGCGCAGGTATGCTGTATAAATGACACGAATATAGAACAATGTGTTATTCCAATCGTGCTTAAGACGATTAAGCATGCGTATTCGTAGAATAGTGCGAAATAGAAATTCGCTTGATCTTTCAAAAAGTAATCAACAGAGATTGGTAATATTAATTCGGTTTCATCCATTACACCAAAGATATATAATATAACATGTATCACGGATGGTAGCATTAGAATCGTAATATACACATAAAAAGCAACTGGAACAATAGAACGTTAATTTAATTTAATTATTATAAAAATAAAAGTAACTTCAATAATATATATTCTATTTCTCTTTTTTTTTTTTTTTACTTGCGATTAATATTGTACACATTCTGCTTCGATTAGCATATGCTTTTAATATTATCAATTCAGACTGGTTTGTCATATTATTCCAATCGGATTTAATACGAAAAAGAAGTTCCTTTATCTGAAATTATTACGATATATTGGATCCTTGCATGTTTTTTTATTTCTGATTTAAATAAAATAATTACGCCGAATACGAACGATTTTAACTTTCGATAAAAAGTTGAAATAAGTTAATGCAAAGATAAAACAAGGCAAAGCCGTTTCCAATAATTTCGTGATAGGATCTATCTTCAGTTCCGACAAGATGAGTATATAAATCTAAAGTACAATCAGCAATCTTGAGCTAATTCGTTCTAATCACATGTTAGTATAATTACATTTCGAAAAGAGATTTACCTGCGAAACTGATGCTACGGCTATGATAAGATTGAAAAAAAAAATGTGAATTATTTGACACGAAGATGTTTTATAAGGCGAAATGCCAATTAATTTAAAGAATAGAATATTATAAGTATAGTACTCGTTTACGAAATACTTCTCGTCTTCCAGAGACATATTGGTAACTCATACAACGCATTAATTTCGATTGTCTTCTAACCTATGCCGTTTTCTACATCTAATATTCTAAATAACCCTTCTAAATGAATTTTTAAAATAACAGATGTATGCCTGCATTTCTAAAAATTGTCTCGAAGGGGCAGAAATTTTTTTTCCCGCAGCATTAATTCATGTAATATCTAATATCTATCATACGTTTCTCCCCTCTTAGTCTAATTGTGCGTGTATAACTAAATATATGTTTCTTTCTTACCATTAAGTTATTATTTGTAATTTACTCCTTCCATGGTCGATTATTTTCTCCCTTCTACGATGGACATGCGCGTTGCATTCGCAGGCACTTCACCATCTCATTCTCTCTCAGTATGATTTTACTTTTCAAAGGAAAGACATGGGAAAGATGTAACTATTATTTTATAGTGTCTATTGGATATATAAAAAAAGATTCCTCGTAAAGTGACAATTATTTTCTCCTTAACATCAGCCAATATTGATTACTATAAACGTAAGTATGATAGTTGGCACAAATATAATAACAAAAATCTACTTCTTATTTTATAGGCAAGTAATTGTTTCGAAATATTTCTTCATTATTACTTATAAATAAGTGGACATTATATGTTGCTATAAATGTTGTTTTACATCTGTTCTTTTAGAAAATTTTTTTTTATTTTATATAAATATATATACAAATATATATATATATATATTTTTTTTTTTATTTATTAAGTATATAAAAAGATATATTTATGATCCATTGAATACGATCTAATAAAATTTGTAGCTGCTTAAAGAAATGTTCTTTATATATAATTCGTATCGTCCTTGGAATTACATCGCAATAGAAATATAGCCCCTTGTAGAATTTTTCGTTATACGTTCCCTTCTCCAATTCTCGTCTGTATCAATCAAAGAGTTTAAGATTACACCTAGTAATCAATATCTTTCTGCAGCAACAGGTAAGCAAATCACCATTTGTTAATTGTTGTCTTTAGTTTGGGACGAGTCTGTTATTCGTACAGTATATATATATATATAAGAATAAGTTGCAGCAACATAACAAATATTTGGCCCATGAATTTTGTGTATTTAAAAAATTCTGATTTCCTTAAATTATATTATTGAAATGTTGTAAGACATGCTATGGTATTTTAAATATAATGAATCAAAAAAAAATATTCTTTTTATAAGTGTTTATAAATCAATTATGTTGCGATTAGAAATTATGCAATCGAAATATATTATTTCTTACCGTTAAGTATGTTCTGAGGATACATATCTGTAGACTCATCGGTAGGTATTCATGTTTATAGGTTAGATATTCTTATTATTGATCATTGATATTGTTTCGTCTTTACCTATAGGAGATTTTACCGGCGGGAAAGATATCTTCCTTACCTTCAGGCAATTCCGCTGGTAAAATAGATATTTGTGTTATCCTTATAAAGTAGATTGTCACCTTATCGTGAATTGATAAATAATTATTTGTTATCGGTTGATATTTGTAAGTATTCGAACATTCGAAATTTTTATTATTTCTGTCTTTCTTAAAATGACTACAAACATACCGGCAGAGAATGAAAAATTGATAATCATAATTTACATGTTGTGACAGAGTAGAATAATCTCTTTTATTAAACACATACATCTTAAACGAGAACGTGGCTGAGATATTGGTAAAGATACAATTTTTCTTCGTAAAATTTCTCCAAGGTATTAGTGTTTGATTTTCTTTCCTTTTTCCTTACTTATCAAAGTAATTATTTTTAAAAAGAGAAATAAATTTAGAGAGACATTCTTGGTCTTTTACTTTTATTCTTTTTTTTTTTTTTGTTCTAAATGATTCCAAAAATTTCGATCGAATCCTTGCTAAATCTATAATTTGGAGAGACGATGTATCGCGATCATGCACACTGATATTTGAAGTGTAGGAATGAAAACTATCATGATATAAAAAATTCATTAATAGTACGTCATGTCAACTAAATATATCGATGTGATCACTATAAAATCTGCATTCTTATCTTTTTCTTTTCTCTTTTTAAAATGACCGAACTTAGTGGTATCAAATATCAAAAATCTAATAAACACTTCAAAATCGTATCGTTGCGTACGGTTAGGTATATTGATAGGAAAATGTAATTCAACTTTAAATGCTGGGAGGTAGCCAATTGCTCATATCTGACTTTAGAGTTCAATGCAATAATAAGAATAATTTGGGCAAACTCTGCTATTGCGTTTTGCTGAATGGAAATATCCTGTTAAAATCAGTGCAATATGAATGTCCATTAAAAAAAATAAATACTATATATATATATGATTCCTATTAAATTATCAAATATTATTGTTATATATTTATTATTTATATTATAAATAATATATATGATTGGTTCTTTTTTTGTTTTTGATTCTTATATTATCAATCAATTTAATTATATGCAGTTTATCAGTTTTTGTATAAACATCGAAATTTCGAGTGTCATAATTTCACGAAGCCTGTCAGGTGACTCTTCTTGGATACTCCCTACTAGTACTCCTATCGAATTAGTTTTTGAAATAATATTAGGTGGATTAGAAAGTAATGTCGTTTCTGGGCATGTCGATATTTGATTGTGATTAAAAATAAAATCTTGTTAAAAATTTATTCGTTTGTATTTAATTTAAGAAAGCGACATTACTTTCGGGTCCACCTGATATTAACGGTAATGTAATATATGGCGTGGTTTCTTCGAAATAAAGCTTTACTAATTTTGATCTCTCAATTCTTCGTTCATAAAAAAACATTTTTCGAACACATCGTCGAGTTACCTAATTTCAAGTGAAGATATATTATGGTAATTTATTTGAACTTAATCTATTGAATGGTTTCAAGATCGTTTCAAAAATTATCCATTTTCCGTTTCTTTCCTATATATTTTTTTTTTTAACTGAGACACACATTCTTTATAATGATGAAGTTTTGCATGCAAAAAAATAAACAAATAAATATATTTTAATCCGCTTTAAATTATGCCAATGTTTTAGCAAAGTATCTTTGTATTTGGAAAGGAAAAAAAAAGAAAAATAATCGTCGCCATTAAGATGGCCTTGAAAGTTTCACACAATATAAAAAACAATGAATGCGAGGACATTTTAATTTTATTATGATTAGACGCTATTGAAAGTTACGAATTTCAATTCTTTTTTGCAAAAATACGGTCACTTGAAACTTTCATCATTTAATGGGTTGTTCGAAAAGTAATACCGTTTTTTTTGTGAAAATGAAAGACAATTTTCGTATAATTAACAAATATATTATTAAATTATATATTGTCCATTCTGGTCCAATGCCTTCTGCCATCTTTCTGATAGTAACATGATACCACGCTCATAAAATTTTTGGTCTTTGCTGGTAAAAAACTAATCGAGGTGGTTTTTGACCTCCTCATTTGAAGTGAAGGTTTTACCGTCTAAAAAATTTTGCACTGACCAGAACAAATAATAATCCGATGGTGCCAGATTTAGAGAATATGGTGGGTGTGGAATTATATCCCATTCAAGTTGTAAAAGCTTTCCGTGAGTGACCAAACTTGTATGAGATCTCGCATTATCTTGGAGGAACACTATACCTTTTCTGTTGAATTGCATCATTCAGTTTGTCCAGCTGATGACAGTAGACTTCCGAATTAATTGTTGTGTTATCCGGTAAAATATAAAAAAAAAAACGATTCCTTCAAAATCCCACCAAACAGACAGCATCACCTTTTTTTGATGGATATTGACTTTGGAAATGCTTTGAGCTGGTTCATCTTTTTTGCTCCATGATCTCTTGAGTTTGAGATTGTTATATACTACCCATTTTTCATTCCCATTAATGATGCGCTTCAAAAATGGATCATTTTCATGACGTTTGAGAAGCGAATCACAGATGTCAACGCGATGACACAAATTTCTCTCCGTGAGAACATGGGGAACCCATATACCGAGTTTCGAGGTTAAACCCAGGATTTTCAAGTGGTCATAAACAGTTGAATTTAATAAATTTAAACTCTCACCGACCTTACGCGTTGTTATTCGCCGGTTTGCATCAACTAATGCTTTTATCGTGTCTTTATCAGCTTCAACCGGCCTTCCAGAGCATGGTGCATCTTCGACATCAAAATTGCTGGATCGAAATTTTGCAAAACAGTTCTGGCACTGGTTTACTGTCAAGACATCTTCTCCATACACATTAATTTCTTTCTGGCTTAAACAGCATTTTTACCTTTTCTATAGTAAAAAAGTAAAATGCTGCTTATTGGTCTCCATATTTAAAAGGGTACCAACCAAAAACTACTGCGTAAAATCAATTGGACTTTTTCAAACACAAGCCTTTCTATATCAGCTGTTAAAACATAATGATTACGCGGCTTAAATGTGAAGTTGGGTGCAAAAAATACAATTAAATCTTCTGTCGGGAAAAAAAAGAAATTACTTTCCTAACAACCCAATATATATATAATATCTCGTATGGATTATGGGAGGTTATAAACGAAAATATGTTTCTCTGTGAACAATGTGAAAAATCTTTATTTGTTAATTAATGCTTAGTTCTGATTAGCCTTACCTGTGAACAAAGAAACGACAATTAACGTTTATTATTCGCACTGTTAAATTTTATTTCTTTTATCTTATGTATCTTCTTCTAGCACTCGTGTTGCTTTTTTTTTCTATGTTATATTTCATACTGCCCGTTTATCTTACAAATCTTAACGACTCGATTTGTAGGTCACAAAAGAAATTGTAAATAATAAAGGACAATGGAAGGGCGGGCTATGAGACGCGTGGCAAATCTATCTGAAGAAAGTATACTTTCTTTACATATATATGACACTACTCGACGCGCATGTATACAGATATTTATATGTGGCAATCTCGTTATTGCTTGTTCTTCATATTTTTTTCACTCGAATTATGCCTAACGATCGTTTCGTCAATATTCTAAATCAAGATGGCATTATAATTCTATACCATTTTAATTAACATTTTAACGTGTAATTGAATATTAATAATAATTAATCGCCACGATTGATTTTACAAATTCATAGTACTTTTCTTTTAATACGTTTTCAGTTTTATAAATTATTCTTATATATTTATTATTTTTTTTTATATAAATATTTGTTAATAATGTTTGTTATACGTAAATAATTCAGTGGCCTTTATTGCGTATGATATTTTACGTCGTATTATTTTATATTATATATCGTCGTATAATTTTATATTAATATAGATATTTATTTAAAATATTGAGATCGAATGTGAATATAAAACCCAATGTAAAAAATAATAAATAACAATAAAAATATTTATAATGTCAGATTAAAATAACAAATAAAAAAAAGAATAAAATGCACTATAATATATACAATATACAATAAAGTGAACTATAATCGGCCCGTAATTATTTTAAAAAACACTCGTGACACGTTGCATTAATGTAGAATGATGGCTATAATTTTAACTGAATTTTTCAGTAATTAGTAAAATTTAATTAGGAGATGAAATAAAAAAATTAGAAAAATTAAATAAAAGAGAAGAAATAACTTGGGTAAAAGAAGAGGAAGAGAAATAATAAGTAATGAATGATTGATAAATAGTATCAAGAAAAACATTTTTAGCGTTTATATTCGCAAATCGATTAGAAGAATTAGAAATAATGAATCTCCTGATAAAACATGACGAAGGAAGAGTGAAGTATATTGGAAAAATCGATAAGAGAGTGAAATCGCAAATGAGATTCAAGTCTGTGAAATCGTCAGTTGAAAATATCGGAAAATTCACATATATTTTCAAAAATTATACTATTTTTAATGTATTTTTTAATAGGTGTAATTGGATTTATGGTTAAATTATTATTGATCGAAAAAATGTTTGAAAGTTGTTCAAAGTGCGTTTATTTTTTGATACGTTCGAAAAAATTTTTTTCTAACAACCTATTCATTACAATAATCCTATTGTAAATAGAATTGAGGATTTTTCGTAAAATTATTTATTATTCTATTCATAACAAATAATTAACGAAAGAGTAATCCATAAAATAAATAGGGACAAATATATTAACATTTATTATTTACTAAAAATCTTAAATAAAACAATAGATACTTTCTATTAACAGAGATCCTTTGTCTTCTCTATTATTATCTATACTACTTTCAAATTACAGTGCAAAAAATCGTCGCATTCGAGCGGAGCAAAATTTAGTTGATATTTATAATCCGATGTTTTTTTTCGCTTAAAATTTAACAGGAATTATAAAATATCATTGCGTATGAAAATGATGTTCTCATAAACTAGAATAAAAGATAATTATTATCAAAAAGATTTGTTCATTATTGTATTCCATATCAGTAGAATATATTTTACCGTAGCAAAAAGATCATGGGATAATACGAGCACTCTTTTAACAGAAAGATTACATGGCATCATGCTCTTCATTATCAAGAATAGCAACAATTTTTGTGTTTTCAATGATAATAAATAAAAGGGAATTTGGCATCTGTAAAGATTAATTCATTAGTAATATCCGATTGAATTAATGATCTAATTAAAATATGCTTTGATCAATACCAACAATTTCATATATATTTCGGTGTGGTGATCTATTAATTTCTGTCCAAGGTAAGAATATACGTATATTACGAACATAGATCCAAAGATATAATTAAGCTTTTGTAATACTTCGCTCATATTAAACGTAAAGGAAAGTATCTGAAATAACTAGAAAGAAAATTGTCCGTGTACATTCGATATCAGAATAAAGACATATTAAAATCAAAATAAGTTCTTCTTTCTTTTAACTTTTTTTTAAAATGAAAAATAACGCTACTTACGTAAATATAATTTACGATAATGATTAATGAGGCGGAAAATATCTCGGCCAAATAAATTCTCTCATGATACAGCTTTATTAAATGAACGAAACTTGAAGAGCGAGAAGAAATAAAAACAAAACAAAAAATTAAGAAAAAAATACATAATAATATTATTTAAAATTAGTATTTGAAGGGATAAATAGCATTAAGTACTGTTTTGTAAAATTAAATACGAACTAAATGGTATTATCATAGTATTCTATGATGTCGATGATCGACATATATTCTTTGTCATAATTGTCCGCATGATAGAAATTATGCAAATTCTTTCTATATTCTTCCTCTATCTTCCATCTATATGAAAAAAAAAAAATGTAGATTATAATAAAGAGGAAGAGAAATCCTTATGATCAAAAATATTTTCTATTATTTATCAAAAGTAATTTCATAATATATCGTCTGAAATGATTACTTACGCAACGATATTGAACAGAGCACAGGCGTGCTGAATAAGTGACACAAATATAGAAGAGTGTGCTATTCCTATTGTGCTTAAGACAATTAACATTACATATTCGTTAAAAAGAGCGAAATATAAATGCACTTGATCCTTCAAAAAGTAGTCAGTAGAAACTGGTAATACTAATTCAGTTACATCCAGTTCACCAAAGATATACGAAATAGCACGTATCATGGATGGAAACATTAAAATCACAATATACAAATAAAAGGAAACTGAAATAATAAAACGTTATCTTAATTTAACACTAATAATCTTCACTTCAGTAATGTAGTTTATTATTATTTTCGTGCTTTCTTTTACTTGCGATTATTATTGTACACTGTCTGCTACGATTAGCATATTTTTTTAATATCATTAATTCAGGCTTGGACGTCATTCTATTCCAATCGGTTTTTATACGAAGCAGAAGTTTCCTTATCTGAAAGTGTTAATATATATTCCATTCTTGTTTGTTTAACAATTTATGATTTAAATGAAATATTTAAAAAATACAAACGATTGTAACTTTCGACAATAAATTATAATAATACAATGTGAAGCTTAGAGAAGGCAAAGTCGTTTCCAATATTTTCATAATAGGATCTACTTTCATCTCTGATGTGAAAAGCAGAAAAAGCTGAAGCATAAGCAGATATTATTTATATTTTAATAATTAGTTTTATGAATTGAATACATTTTGAAGTTAATTTGTTCTAATCACATGATAGTAAAATTATGTATCAGAATGAGATTTACATTCAAAAATGATGCTATTGCTATTATAAAATTAAATAAACAAACGTGAATCATATGACACGATAATGTTTCATAAGACGAAATGCCAACTAATTTTAAGAATCGAATATTGTAAGTGTAGTACTCGTTTCCGAAATACAGCTCGTCTTGCACAAACATTCTAATAACTCCTATGACTTATTAACTTCAACTGACTTCAACCCCATATCTTTTTTTACATCAAGAATTCTAAGTACCTTTTTAAATACATTTTTTATATGATAAAATAGTAAAAGTACTTTTCTCTAAATTGTATCGATTGATAAAAAGTTTCCCTTTCATAAAAAAAATTCATATTATATCTATAGCCTGTTATACGTTTCTCCCATTTTAGTTCAATTATACGTGTATAACTAAACAGATGTTTCTATCTAGCTATTAAGTTATTATTTGTCATTTACTCCTTACATGGTCAATTATTTTTTCCCTTCCACAATAGACATGCGCATTGCGTGCTCAGGCACTTCCCCTATTCATTCTCACGCAGTACGGTTTTACTTCTCGAAGGAAAGACATCTGAGTGCTTGATGTGTTACTCTAATTTTATTATAATTTACATATTGTTAATTGAGTATATAATAAATGACTTTACGTGAATGTGCAATTATAGACTTCTTAAATTAATTTGCAATATTGCTAATATTAACTTCGTCATTATAATAGAAACAAGTAGCATAACGAAAGAAGTAAGTAATTATTTCGTATTGTTTCTTCACTATTCTGATCAGTGTGTAGACATTGTTAGTCATTATCAATGTTCTCTTATCTCTGCTCTATTTTAAAATCTGCATGCATTGAGAGTAAATAAACCATTGTTTTTATTCCGAATATTACCATTGTCAAAAACCTTCTATTTTAGCTTTTCTATAAATATTTACACGTTTATCTATTGATTCATATATGTATCTATGTATTTATTAATAATAAAAAAATGATATATTTACGGTGTGATGAATACAGTGTAATAAAGTTCATAACTGGTTAAAATAATATTTTTTGTATACATTTCATGTCGTCTTGTAGAATTCTTCCTTTGACGTTTCCCTCTCTATTCCCTTGGTGCACCAATCAAATAAACTTAGCCTGCTCCAATTAATCAATATTATTTCGTAGCAACTGGTAAGCGAATCAACGTCTGACGATTGTCAAGCACGTGTTTGTTCCACGTGTTCATCCGTAAAAATAAATGTCAGTCAACACAACGAATATTTATCGCATGATTTTTATGTTACTTATTTAAGAAAACATGATCTCTTTAAATTATATTATTGTAATTTATAAATTTTTATAGAATTTTTTTTTATATGAACGCAATGGTGACAAGAAAGATATTCTTTGAAATGTGAAACATACGAATCAGAAAAAGAAGATACGTGTTGAATTTATTATGTCAATTGTGTTGTGATCAATAATTATTCAACTAAAATGTGTTATTTCTTATGCTCAAATATAATGTGAGAATATACAAACATATATTTATCGATATATTAGCACCTATTAATATTTGTATGTCACACTATTTTATCAATAATATTTGTTTACCTTACCATTAGAAGATTTTTGGATGGAATAGTTTTCTACTTTATCATCAAGTTTTTTTTCGGATAAATAGATTTCTACTTTTACATCGAAAGTTACAAGAACAAATAAAATCGTTTTCTTACCGTGGATCGATAGAAAATTATTTGTCATTGGTTGATATTCGATCTTCGTTGTATGTATTATATAATTTATGTAAGAAAAAAATGTAGGAAGTACTACAAGTATATATTATGCATATTATAAGATAGTTATGTTTAATTACGATTATCTGTAAATATGCCAATTAGATAGTATGGAAAGTATCTTTAGAATATTTTTTTCTTTTGAAATGAACTGTCTCGATACATTAATATGTAGTTCTCACTATTTTATGGCTAGATACATAACATATAGTACTTCAGTTTAATAATAAAAGAGCTCCTCCTATTATGTGTCAATTACTTATTTGATAATTATTTTTATTTTGCATGGCTGTCTCGAATAAACCAATACAAATAAATATTACTATTTTACCGGTTTCCATATTCTAACGATTCCGGTATTATTTCCCATATCTGAATTGATGATTATTATAATAATATATATTAATAAACCAGATGTCGAGTTCTATTGAAAATATCTACAAAATACAGCATTTTTATTGTTATCCCAAAAAAAACCAAAAAAACGAACGCTTCGAATATTCATATGATGATGACAAAGTAATAACTGTACAATAGAGATAAATATACTGAAAGAAATAATCATTAATTTCAATGAATTATGGTTTCAATAGAACCAATTCAAAATAAATATATATTCAATAGGTTGCATTAGTTCATACTACTCAGTTATTGGTGAAATATCACTTGCGGTTATTATATTCAACAATTTATATCCTTACGAAAAATTAAATTTTTTAAAAGTCAGTTAACATTATGCAGATTTTATATTTTCTACATATTAATTGGAATAATTTCTTTAAGGTTGTTTCTTTTTACATTCTGAATGGATAATCAACATTTCTTTTACTTGTATTCAAGTTCTTCATTGTTTTGTAAAAGTCTAATCGCAAAATTTAATCATCTCTCTGCTATTCATCAATTCTCTCCCTTAACATTTGATCATAGCGTTTCTTTACTTGTTTTTATTAAAGTTACTGCGTCAATTCCATTATCACTTTACGGTATAATCTTATTTTTTCTCTTCTAACTGATTTTCTATCTTCGATTCTTAAAATTACCACGTCTGGTTTAGTTTTTATTTGAAGTGTCATTAATTTTTCTTTGAACATCTTCTTGCACAGCGTAAGATGATGTGTGCAATTCTCAATAAATTTAGATATTTGTTCAATGTTACTCAAAATATTTAACAAAATTCTCTCGAAAGAACTGAGTATATTTTCTATAATCAGATGGCAGTTTATAACTGATAGATAGCACGAACTGCTGGAGAAATTAAATACAGAATATCATCAATTGTTCTTCTTTGATAGAAGAGGTTTATTTTGCAATTAAAATACACATCTTAAAGGATCCCATTAAAACGATTCTCCAATCTCGTAGAAAGTGGCGAAGGTATTTTTATTCTTATCATTTACTTAATTCCGTTATATGCTTATCTAGGTAAATGACATTCGAACTTACTTTTCGAATTTTCAAGGCTATTGTGGAAAAATCTAGCATTGAAACATTTTACCACTTCTGCCTTCCATACAGTAAGTACAAACTTCGTAACTGAGAAGAAAAAGGAATATTAATAATTCATACGTTGTGCCATAGTATAAGTGTTGTGTCAAAAATCTCTGTTCTTAAGCGCGTCCATCTTAAATATGACCAAGGTCGTGATAGGGATAAGAGGCAAATTTTTTTTCTTACAATTTCTTAAAGATAGTAGTGTTTGATATACTTTCCAAATTGTTACTTATTCAATTACTTATTTATTATCAGAAAAATAAATTATAGATATATGTTTGATTTCGGACCTTTATTTTTTTGTTTTTTGAACGATACCGTAGACTTCGATGAAAACTTTACTGAGTTTATATTTCCGAAAGACAATGTATCGCGATCATGCACATTGATATTTAAAACGAAGGGATCAAAATTAGTACGAAATTAAAAATTCTAAAATTGAAAGTCATGTCAACTTGTATTTCGATGTGATAATTATAAAATCTCTATTCTTTTATTTATTTATCTTTTTCTTTTTTGTATTCAAATGCTATGTGGTCCAGAATTTCAACAATCTTATATAAATTCCAACTTTAATGATTTTAGTTTCGAGTCATGAACCGTTCTATACGGTTGGTTACATAAATGGGGTAAAATAATTGCACGTCGAGGAAAAAAAGCCATTTGCTTGTATCTGCTTTACAGTTGAATGCAAGAGTACGAATCATACGAACAACATCTGCTTTTGCCTTCTACAAAATAGCAATTTGTAGTGAATTTGTTTGATTGTGAGTACAATTTATATACCTATTAAGAAAAAAGAAAACAATACTGTATAGATGATATAAAGAAATTATCATATGTTATTATATTCAAAATATGTTTTATGTTATAAATTATATATTGCTACATGTCATTATTCTATATTTATTTTAAATTTATTATTCGTTATAAATTAATTATAAATATATCTGATCCATCTTGTTTGTTTTTATTTCTTGTATTATCAATCAATTTTGAGACTTCAATATTCAAATAAGACTTCTCTTCTGTAGACGTTATGTGTGATGCCATCGATTTAAATTTTGAAAATAGTGTCAACAAGATAAGGACAATTCGATGAGAATCATTTCTAAATAAAAATTATATTTCATTTATCTTGTTTATTATAAGTATGAAAATACATACACGAATACATATATATACATATATATATATATATATATATATATATATATATATATATATGCATGTATATATAAAGGAAAGAAAATTTAACAAGGCAAATGATTACGGTGAATGACATTAACAATAGTAATCTCTTCGAAATAATCTTCTCAAAACTAATTTAATTTATTGTTATCTTTTTTCATTTTGTTCTATTAAATTTTATATCTCATTCGTATTGCAGAAATATAAAAATACAAATAAATAAATAAAACACATATGTTCAAGGATCCTATCGAAATAAAAATAGACGAATTTTTTTCTATTATTTCATTCGTTGTTACGAAGACATTTTTCGAGCACGTTTTTGAGTTATCCGATATTCTGTCCAAGATTCTGTCAAAAGATCACTTTTTTTCCAAAAAGTATATTACTTCCCAACAAATATTTTTTTTTAGAATGAAATTCAAATTCTTTATAACGACTAAGTGCTCTGCGCAAAAAAAAAATAAATAAAATTAATCTAAAATATATTTTAATACGTTTCCAATTACGCTAAATATTTAAGGGTGATCTTATTTATCATAAACTATATGGATATTTATTTAAAATATTGCGATCGAACAAGGAAAACGAAGGAATATAAAACTTAATGTAAAAAATAATAAATAAAAATAAAGATGCTTAAAAATTAAAAAAAACTATAATTAAGAGAATTAATTACATACATTAAACAAAGATAATAATAAATTAAAAAACAAATAAAAAAAATAAAATACACAGTGATATATATAATATATAATAAAATTAAATATAATATACGCGTAAGGGATCAATTATTTTAAATCACGCTTGCGGTTCATCGCATTAACAATGGACTTTCAATTTGAATGAACACTTCGTGCGAATGTGAAGAAAGGGGGAAATAAAAAGGAAACAACGAACAAAAAGTAAGAGGAAAAGAAAAATCTTAGCTGTTTATATTTACAAATCAATTAGAAAAATTAGAAATAATAGACATCATGACAAGAGATGTCGAAATAGAATAATCTGCGGGATACAATTCCGAGAAATAGTTTGTCGACATTTTCGAAAAATTCAGGCCTCTTCAAAAATTTTACGATTGTCAAATGATTCTTTCAATTAGTGGAAATGGAGTTGTGATTAAATTATTTTTGATCGATTAAATGTTGGGTAATTGCCAGGATGGATTCATCTTTAGAAACGACCAAAAAAATGAAGGATGTCTTTTATCATGAGAATAAATTAATCGAGGGTTCGTTGAGTATTTTCAATATACCAAAATGGCTGAGTTTTTTAAACTTAAGCTTGCTTAGATAATGTTTTTTTTTCTAGGCCCAATACATTAGACTAATTGAATTGCAATGTTAATTAAACATTCTTCATGAAATGACTTGTTATTCTCTATATAGTAAAAAATGAATGAAATACTAAAATGTACAACAAATAGGAATAATCATAGCAACATTTATTATTTATTCATAATATCAAATAAGACAAAAGATACTTCTTATTAAGAGAAAACCTTTTTAGTTTCTATTATTATCTATAATACGTTCAAATTACAAAGGAAAAGGTCATCGCTTTTGTACGAAGCAAACTCAGTTAGTATGTATTTACCGATCCTTTACTTGGTAAAAATTTAACTCGAATTATAAAATATCATTGCGTATGAAAATGATGATCTCATTAACTAGAATAAAAGATAATGATTAACAAAAAGATTTGTTCATTATTATATTCCATATCAGTAGAATAAATTTTACCGTAGCAAAAAGATCATGGGATAATACGAGCACTCTTTTAACAGAAAGATTACATGGCATCATGCTCTTCATTATCAAGAATAGCAACATTTTTTGTGTTTTCAATGATAATAAATAAAAGGGAATTTGGCATCTGTAAAGATTAATTCATCAGAAATATCCGATTGAATTAATGATCCATTTAAAATATGCTTTGAACAACACTAACAATTTTATATATATTTCGGTGTGATGATCTATTAATTTTTGTCCAAGGTAATGATAAATGTATATTACGAACATAGATCCAAAGATATAATTAGTCTTTTGTAATACTTCGCTCATATTAACCGTAAAAGAAAGTATCTGAAATAACTAGAAAAAATTGCCCGCGTACATTCTCTATCACAATAAAAGATATATTAAAATCAAAATAATTTCTTCTGTCTTTTCAATTTTTTTTTAAACGAAAAATAACGTTACTTACGTAAATATAATTCACGATAACGAATAATACCATGAAAAATATGTCGGTCATATAAATTCTCTCATGAAACAGCTTTATTAAACCAACGAAACTTGAAGAACGAAAAGAAATAAAAACGAAATAAGAAATAAAGAAAAAAGATATATAATGATATTATTCAAAATTAGTATCTGAAGGGATAAATAGCATTAAGTATTGTTTTGTAAAATTAGATACGAACTAAATGGCATTATCATAGTACTCTATGATGTCGATGATCGACTTATATTCTTTGTCATAATTGCCTGCATGATAGAAATTATGCAAATTCTTTTTATATTCTTCCTCTATCTTCCATCTATATGAAAAAAACAATGTAGATTATAATAAAAAGGAAGAGAAATCCTTATGATCGAAAAATATTTTCTATTATTTATCAAAAGTAATTTCATAATATATCGTCTGAAATGATTACTTACGCAACGATATTGAACAGAGCACAGGCGTGCTGAATAAGTGACACAAATATAGAAGAGTGTGCTATTCCTATTGTGCTTAAGACAATTAACATTACATATTCGTTAAAAAGAGCGAAATATAAATGCACTTGATCCTTCAAAAAGTAGTCAATAGAAACTGGTAATACTAATTCAGTTACATTCAGTTCACCAAAGATATACGAAATAGCACGTATCATGGATGGAAACATTAAAATCACAATATACAAATAATAGGAAGCTGAAATAATAAAACGTTATCTTAATTTAACACTAATAATATTCACTTCAGTAATGTAGTTTATTATTATTTTCGTGCTTTCTTTTACTTGCGATTATTATTGTACACTGTCTGCTACGATTAGCATATTTTTTTAATATCATTAATTCAGGCTTGGACGTCATTCTATTCCAATCGGTTTTTATACGAAGCAGAAGTTTCCTTATCTGAAAGTGTTAATATATATTCCATTCTTGTTTGTTTAACAATTTATGATTTAAATGAAATATTTAAAAAATACAAACGATTGTAACTTTCGACAATAAATTATAATAATACAATGTGAAGCTTAGAGAAGGCAAAGTCGTTTCCAATATTTTCATAATAGGATCTACTTTCATCTCTGATGTGAAAAGCAGAAAAAGCTGAAGCATAAGCAGATATTATTTATATTTTAATAATTAGTTTTATGAATTGAACACATTTTGAAGTTAATTTGTTCTAATCACATGATAGTAAAATTATGTATCAGAATGAGATTTACATTCAAAAATGATGCTATTGCTATTATAAAATTAAATAAACAAACGTGAATCATATGACACGATAATGTTTCATAAGACGAAATGCCAAGTAATTTAAAGAATCGAATATTGTAAGTATAGTACTCGTTTTCGAAATACAACTCGTCTTGCACAAACATTCTAGTAACTCCTATGACTTATGAACTTCGACTGACTTCAACCCCATACCGTTTTTTACATCAAGAATTCTAAGTACCTTTTTAAATACATTTTTTAAATGATAAAGTAATAAAAGTACTTTTCTCTAAATTGTATCGATTGGTAGAAAGTTTTTCTTTCATAAAAAATATTCATATAATATCTATAGCCTGTTATACGTTTCTCCCATTTTAGTCCAATTATACGTGTATAACTAAACAGATGTTTCCTTCTAGCTATTAAGTTATTATTTGTCATTTACTCCTTACATGGTCGATTATTTTTTTCTTTCCACGACAGACATGCGCATTGCGTGCACAGTCACTTCCCCTTTTCATTCTCTCGCAGTATGATTTTACTTCTCGAACGAAAGACATGTGAGTGCTTGATGTGTTACTCTAATTTTATTGTTATTTAGTTATTGTTAATTGAGTATATAATGAATGATTCCTCGTGAATTAATTAGCAATATTGGTAATATTAACGTCGGCAATATAATTGGAACAAGTAGAATAACGAAAGAAGTAAGTAATTATTTCGTATTGTTTCTTCACTATTCTTATCAGTGTGTAGACATTGTTAGTCATTATCAATGTTCTCTTATCTCTGCTCTATTTTAAAATCTTCATGCATTGAGAGTAAATAAACCATTGTTTTTAGTCCGAATATTACCATTGTCAAAAAATTTCTATTTTAGCTTTTCTATAAATATTTACACGTATATTTATTGATTCATATATGTATTTATGTATTTATTAATAATAAAAAAAGGATATATTTACGATCTGGTGAATACGATGTAATAAAATTCGTAGTTGGTTAAAATAATATTCTTTGTGTACATTTCGTGTCGTCTTGTAGAATTTTTCCTTTGACGTTTCCCTCTCTAATCCATTGGCGCATCAATCAAATAAACTTAGCCTGCTCCAATTAATCAATATTTTTCCGTAGCAACTGGTAAGCGAATCAACGTTTGATGTTTGCCAAGCACGTGTTTGTTCCACGTGTTCATCCGTAAAAATAAATGTCAGTCAACACAACGAATATTTATCGCATGATTTTTATGTTACTTATTTAAGAAAACATGATCTCTTTAAATTATATTATTGTAATTTATAAATTTTTATAGAATTTTTTTTTATATGAACGCAATGGTGACAAGAAAGATATTCTTTGAAATGTGAAATATTCGAATCAGAAAAAGAGGATACATGTTGAATTTATTATCTCAATTGTGTTGTGATTAATAATTATTCAACTAAAATGTGTTATTTCTTATGCTTAAATATATCGTGAGATTATGCAAACATATCTATCGATATATGGGCACCTATTAACATTTGTATGTGCAATTATTTTAATAATAATATATGTTTACCTTACCATTAGAAGATTTTTTCGTTGAAATAGATTTCTACTTTTACATCGGAAGTTATTAGCAGAAATAGAATTGTTTTCTTACCGTGGATCGATAGAGAATTATTTGTCATCGGCTGATCTTCGTAGTTTCATGAATTATATAATTTACGTAAGAAAAAAATGTAGGAAGTACTACAAGTATATATTATGCATATTATAAGATAGTTATGTTTAATTACGATTATCTGTAAATATGCCAATTAGATAGTATGGAAATTATCTTTAGAATATTTTTTTCTTTTGAAATGAACTGTCTCTATACATTAATATGTAGTTCTCACTATTTTATCGCTAGATACATAACATATAGTACTTCAGTTTAATAATAAAAGAGCTTCTCCTATTATGTGTCAATTACTTATTTGATAATTATTTTTATTTTTCATGATTGTCTCGAATAAATCTATACAAATAAATATTACTATTTTACCGGTTTCCATATTATAACGATTCCGGTATTATTTCCCATATCTGATTTGATGATTATTATAATAATATATATTAATAAACCAGATATCGAGTTGTATTGAAAATATCTACAAAATACCGCATTTTTATTGCTCTCCGAAAAAATAAAAAATAGAACGCTTCGAATATTAATACGATGATGACAACATAATATCTATACAGTAGAAATAAATATTCTGATAAAAATAATCATTAAATTAAATGACATGTGGTTTTAATAGAATTAATCCAAAATATATATATATATATTCAATGTGTTGCATTGGTTTATACTACTCACAGTTATTCGTGAAATATCACTTGCGATTATTATTTTCAACAATTTATACTCTTACGAATAATCACATTTTTTAAAAGTCAGTTAACATTATGCTGATTTTATATTTTCTACATATTAATTGGAATAATTTTTTCAATGTTATTTCTTTTTACATTCTGAATGGATAATCAACATTTCTTTTACTTGTATTCAAGTTCTTCATTGTTTTGTAAAAGTCTAATCGCAAAATTTAATCTTCTCTCTGCTATTCATCAATTCTCTTCTTAACATCTGATCATAGAGTTTCTTTACTTGCATTTATTAAAGTCTATTCCATTATTATCTTTCGGTATAATCTTATTTTTCATCTTCTAACTGATTTTCTATTTTCGATTCTTAAAATTATCACGTCTGTTTTAGTTTTTACTTTAAGTTTCATTAGTATTTCTATGAATATCTTCCTAAACAGGGTAAGATGATGTGTGCAATTCTCAATAAATTTACATTTTTGTTCAATGCTACACAAAATATTTAACAAAATTCTCAATATTTCGAAAGTACTCAGTATATTTTCTACAATCAGATAGCAGTTTATAATTGATTGATGGCACGAACTGTTAGAAAAATTAATTATAGAATATCCTCAAATTACTTACTTCGATATAAGTGGATTATTTTGCTATTAGGATACACATCTTGAAGGATCCCATTAAAACGGTTCTCCTATCTCGTAGAAAGTGGCGAAGGTATCTTTATTCTTACCATTTACTTAATTCCGTTATTTGCTTATCTAAGTCAATGACATTCGAACCTACTTTTCGAATTTTCAAGGCTTTTGTGAAAAAATCTACCATTGAAACATTTTATCACTTCTGCCTTCCATACAGTAAGTACAAACTTTGCAACTGAGAAGAAAAAAAGGATAATCATAATTCGTACGTTGTGCCATAGTATAAGTGTTGTGTCAAAAATCTCTTTTCTTAAGCGCGTCCATCTTAAATGTGACCAAGGTCGTGATAGGGATTAGAGGAAAATTTTTTTTCTTACAATTTCATAAATATACTGGATCTTTCGGAATGTCATTTCGCTTTTTTTTGTGAAAATGAACGACAATTTTCGTACAATGAACAAATATTTTATTAAATTATATATTGGCCATTCTGGTCTAATACCTTTTACCTTCTTTCTGGTAGTAGCATGATTCCTCGCTCATAAAATTTTTGGTCTTTGCTGGCAAAAACTGATCGAGGTAGTTTTTGACCTCTTCATTTGAAGTGAATGTTTTACCGTCTAAAAAATTTTGCAGTGACCGGAACAAATAATAATCCGAAGGTGCCAGATCTGGAGAATATGGTGGGTGTGGCATTGTATCCCATTCAAGCTCTAAAAGCATTTGATGAGTGACCAAACTTGTATGAGGTCTCGCATTATCTTGGAGGAACACTATACTTTTTCTGTTGATTAATTCTGGCCTATTCTGTTGAAGTGTATCATTCAGTTTGTCCAGCTGGTGACAGTAGACTTCCGAATTAATTGTTGTATTATCCGGTAAAATCTCAAAAAAAAAACGATTCCTTTAAAATCCCGCCAAACAGACAGCATCACCTTTTTTCTGAAGGATATTGGCTTTGGAAATGCTTTGAGCCGGTTCATCTTTTTTGCTTCATGATCTCTTGCGTTTGACATTGTTATATACAACCCATTTTTCGTCCCCAGTAATGATGCGCTTCAAAAATGGATCATTTTCGTGACGTTTGAGAAGCGAATCACAGACGTTAACGCGACGACACAAATTTCTCTCCGTGAGAACATGGGGAAGCCATATACCGAGTTTCGAGGTTAAACTCTGGTTTTTCAAGTGGTCATAAACAGTTGAATTTAATAAATTTAAACTCTCACGAACCTTACGCGTTGTTATTCGTCGGTTTTCATCAACTAATGCTTTTATCGTGTCTTTATCAGCTTCAATCAGCCTTCCAGAACGTGATGCACCTTCTACATCAAAATTGCCAGATCGAAATTTTGCAAGCCAGTTCTGGCAATGGCATACTGTCAACTCATTTTCTCCATACACATCGTTAATTTCTTTCTGGCTTGAACAGCATTTTTACCTT